TGGGTTGTTCACTTGTTTGGTTCGATGCATTTGGCGACGGCGCCAGCGCGGTGTCGCCTGTTTGCTATGACTTTTAAGAAGCCACTTGATTTTCTGTGCAAAGCCTCTGTCCCTGTCATTGGAATCCATCGACATAGCAGGGCTGTTTGTTGGTCTTCAGCGCTGTCATCTGCTTGCTGCCATGTCGAGCTAGTGTGCACTTGAGCCTTCCTTTTAGTCGAATCCTGCAGCTGTCTGTATTTTTGTTTTTGGTTAAGCTTTTATCTGTATCTCTTAATGTTGCAACTATTTGTAATTTACTTACTCAGGTTACTAGTAGTAGAAGTAACAAATTCTGATGGGAATTGTTTGATTAATTTCTTGCAGTATCCTGATTTCAGTAGGTAATGTTGCTTATGTCGTGGTAAACCAAACATAGATTGGATAACTGTTGAGCGACGAGAAGATGTTGATGACCAGATGATTAGGTTACCGGATGTTGAAATGGAAATGGCAAAGAAAGTATCAAATGAAACCTAAAATGTACTCCCTCCTTTCACAAATATAAGATGTTTTGGATATTTCAATATGGACTACATATTGACTGAAATGAGTGAATGAACACACTAAAACGTGTCTATATACATCTGATTTAAAAAAAGGTTTTAACATCTTATATTTGTGAATGGAGGGAGTATTTTCTTACTGAATTACCTTTTTCATGTTTTGAATCCCTGGTGGAATATATTAGGTTTTGTAGGAAAATTTCAGGTGGACAGTTTTCTATGCCTTGCTAAGTAAGCTTTAATAGTGTGTATTTTGACATTCGTTCTATAGAAATTACTCTGTCTGGAACTTGATACAAGGTAATATAGCATGTTAAATAAACTCAGCATGTGCTAGCTGTACTTACCTTCATGTTGCGACATGCTTGGTTCTGCAAATCTTTTCATGGTTGATTGTTTAGTCTTGTTTTCCACGTCCATTTAAAGTTACATGCTCTTGGTTGAGACTGTCCCTCTATACGCCTGTCTAATAGACAGGCTTGATAAATCTGGTGACTGAGAGCATGTTAATTCATTTTATAGATTTAATTGTATTTGTTAAGATGTTAAGCTAGTTAATTGAAATGTATTCTGCAAATGTAATTCTGTGCAGTAAAAATGCTAAGAATACAATGTTTCCTTCATGAGCTGGCATCGTTTGAGAGCATGGTTAATAGTATAGCCAACTGCTGCTCTGTATAGTAGTCATGTCATCTATAGCCAAAGTAAAAGCTAACCCATATAATAGTTAACTATAGGCATTTTCTACTTTATCACTACCTGTCCCTTCTCCTTCTCTGACAGTGCTTCTTGCAGCCTGTGCTGAGCTAGCTACTGATTTATAGCCCGTTTCTCTTCTCTCTCCTCCAACTCATCATAAATATGATATGGCACCTCTTATGTCATCCTATTATACTTGCTCCGGAGGGATTGCAGGTCTTCTTAATCGTCTATTCGGCTTAGCAATGAACAGTTTACTATGTTATGAAATTCTAACGACTTCAGATAAGTAGAGTTGATCTTCCTTTTTGAATAATAACATCTGCAGCTGAGACAGCCATGCCGGTTATTGATTTTAGGAATGTCCTCAAATACTTCACATATCCCATCATCGGATCTCACTTCATTAGTACTTTCTGATGTTTCCTACCTGTGATATCTACACAACACAATCACTTGAAATTTGTACTGGATGTAAACCACATGTTAAGGTTGTAGGAAATATTATTTTGTATTTTCAACTTTTTTCAAGTTATTGAGTATCTAATGTGAACATATAGGAGTTTTGCTGGAACGGAGTTCGAAAATGGCATGAGCTGTGTTGTTTTAGTAAAAGTAGTGGATTCTGGTTTCAGAATTGCTAGTCTTGCATTCATATCCATATTTAGTTACAATTAATCTGTCTGTCAGTCCTTTGATATAATTTTCTTTCTCATCATTTTGTATTATGGCCTGTAATCATCCTGAAGTGTATTCATTAGTAGTGTATGCCAGTGTCCTGAGTTCATGCCTATTTTGTAGGCGTCGACATCAGCATGAATACTCATCTGAAGACTGTCAAGCTTACACTGAAAGGGAAGAATCCTGTCACCCTTGACCACCTTAGTGTGAGGGGAAACAACATTCGATATTACATCCTTCCTGACAGCTTAAACCTGGAGACGTTGCTGGTTGAGGAAACACCAAGGGTGAAGCCTAAGAAGCCTACTGCAGGTATGGTATTAGTGTCTTTCTGTGTTTTATTTAGTTTATGTACTATCACTGGCGCCGTTCTCTGAACACCCCTTCCTTCATCTGGATGCAGGGAAACCTATGGGTCGTGGGCGCAGTCGTGGTCGTGGGCGCGGTCGTGGCAGGGGGCGCTGAGCTATGTTATACCTTGGAAATTTTGCACTGCATGCTTGTGTGCAGTGTAATCTGGTTTCCTACTTGTACGGAGCAATATTCTTATTAGAGCCAAGAAGACGTTGATATTGGCTGTACCAGCTGTTCTTGATGTGGAATTATGTTGTTGGTGTTTGACTGATGTTCTAAAGTGTGCTAGCTTTATATTACGGGTGTTCAAAAGTGTACTATCTTTATTTTGCGATTACTGTGTCATGATTCCCATTTCTAGGAAATTTATCTGGGTGCTTGTCAATTTTGTTCATTTTCTCTATTTTTAACAACAATTTGGTATGCCCCAAGCATGTAATATCCGACAAAGTTTAACAATGGTTGTGACTATTGCTATTGGACAAATATTAAATGCATCATCAACAACAAGCACAAATAGCATGGACAAATACTGCGCAATGGAAGTATCAGGGCAAATATTGTGACATGGATAAGGGCAATTGCTGCAAAGCCATGTCTGTAGTCTACAAAGCATTATTACATCGAACAAATGAATATCCACACCATTTAGTTACAGACACAAATGGACAGAAACTATAAATGTTTGCTTTACAGAAAGATTGCGCAGTGTAGACAAGCACCATTGATGAACATTTGCTCACCGATTACACCGTCAATGGCGGAAGGAAGGACAACAACCTGGGCAGCTGTTTTCAGTCTCACATGATAGGACTTGGTCGTAAACTTGCTTAACTGCAGCAGCCACCTGATTGAGAGGACGAGCCAGCACCACCTCCGGATGCATTGGGGACAGCATAGCCAACTTTGATTCCGTAGGACTACAGCGAATAAGGAAAAAACATTATACATTGAGAACATTAGTTTGGGGGAGGAACAGTGCTAGCCTAGCCAATCAGCGCTACAGGAAATGAAAACAACTACTGTTTCAGAATCAAGTAGAAGAGACGTTCTTAGAAGAAGAATGAATGTAAATCAAACTTTGGTTTCATCTATTCGCCAAGGACGAAAAGCTGCATTTATGGGGTATCGAATGGAACAAAAGGAGCTGCCAATGACAAATGAATAAATGGCACAAATCAAAAAATACAGGAAACAAGAAAAGAGAGAATATATAACTGGAGACTCATCTAATCATCTATCCACACTCATCCCCTGATGCTTAGATGATCAAATGCTAAGAGAAGCACATGATCGCACTTCCAATTACTACCTAACACAGAAAAGTTTGTTGACCTGCCCAAGTACACCTGTCCTCCTACCAAAACTTAAATGCTTACAACCTGATAAGATACTGGTAGGAACGCAGACTAAGGCATAGCCTAGTGGTGGGAAGGGGCTGATGCCTTCCCACCCACCCAGGTTCAAGGCTTGGTACTTGCAATTTGGGTTTGTTGCACCAATTATGTTGTAGGGGGTTCCCTTACAGTCTTTCTATCAAAAAGATACTGGTAGGAACTTGTACCCTACCAGGCCTGGGGCGTAAGCAGTAAGGGAATGAGGGAGCTGGGCGAGGCGATGAGCGGCCGCGCCGGCGGCGGCTAGGGTTAAAGGCGGCTAGGGTTCCGGCTCCTCTGGGAGCCGGGCAATAGAGATAATAATCTTCTTATTGCTTGATTCCAAAAGGAGTCTTACAGCCTATATTTATAACCTAGATAACTTGCATAAGAATTAACCTAAGATAACTTGCATAAGAATTAACCTAAGATAACTTGTGGGCTAAGATTGCCCGGTGGGCCTAGCTAAACCGGCCATAACACTTCTCCCCGCCTGCACAAACAGCTCGTCCTCGAGCTGTAAGGTGGGAAAGCGCTTGCGGAACTCCTCGAGGCGATCAACCAGCGTCAAACACCTTCTCGACAGCTGGGGCGGCCAGGTCGGCGGCGATGGCGTCCTCCGGAATGTAGTCTGCAACCTCCAGGTAGAAGAGTCGCGGGCAGGCATGGCCGGGCGTGTAGGGCTCGTCGCAGTTGAAGCACAACCCTTGGCGGCGACGCTCGAGTAGCTCGGCTGAGGTGAGCCGGCAGAACGGGCGTGCCGCGATCACGGCGAGGGGTGCCGCAGAAGCCTGTGCAGGCCGACCCTGTGCGGAATCCGGCCCGGGTAGCGACCCAGCGGTCCGGGACGATGATTCCTGCTGGATGGCCACCGCCCGGCGCTCGAAAGCGCGGGGGCGTGGTACATGGCCGACTGGAGATCCTGGGGTCCCCGAAGCTCCACGTCCACGTGGATGTGATCCGGAAGTCCACCGACAAAGAGGTCGGCCCGCTGCTGCGCCGTCACACTCGACGCATGGCATGCCAGGGCCTGGAAACGGTCGGCGTAGTCCTGCACCGTGGAGGTGAAGGGAAGGCGGCCGAGCTCCGCCAGGCGGCTCCCGCGAACCGGAGGCCCAAAGCGAAGGAGGCAGAGCTCGCGGAAGCGCTCCCAAGGGGGCATGGCGCCCTCGTCCTGCTCGAGGGCGTAATACCAGGTCTGTGCCGCGCCGCGGAGGTGATACGAGGCGAGCCAGGTACGCTCCGATGCGAGGGTGCGCTGCCCGCGAAAGAACTGGTCGCACTGGTTGAGCCAGTTGAGGGGGTCCTCCGTGCCGTCATAGGTGGCGAAATCGATCTTGGCGAACCGTGGCGGTGTCTGGGTCGGAGCGCCGTGTCGAGCTGGCTCAGAGGTGCGGAGCAGCGAGGCGGGTGGCGCTTGGTCGGAGTACTCCGGGTAGGGACCCGCGGAGCTGGATGGCCCGCCGAACTGCGGAAACGGGGTCGGCTGCTCCGGAGCCGTGGTGTAGACCGGCGATGGCGAAGACCCAGCCGCCCATGCTGGAAGTGGCAACGGGGAGGGCGGGAGCCGGACCTGATGAATCGGGAGGCCGGTCGATGAGGGTGCCCCCGAGCTAGGCAGGGGCGGTGCCGGTGGTTGGAGCGTCGGTGGCGGGGGGTGGGCGGGGGCGTCGGTGGCCGCGGGAGGGGGTGGCTGCAAGTACCACAGAGGGGCCGCGGCCGGCGTAGTCCCGCCGGGGTGTCCCGCTGGAAACGGCAGCAGGGGTTGCCCGGTGCAGGTCGGCGCGGAGAACGGCTGCAGCGGTCCGGTGGCCGCCGCCTGCGGCATCTGCTGTAGCGGCCAGGGGCCCAAGGACGGCGTGGGCACCAAGGGCCAGAGGGCGCTCCGTACGGAGAGACGCCCTGGGGCGGCCACGGCGTGTGGCCGTAGGCGGCAGGGGGCGCCGTCGGCAGGGGCATGTAGGGCCCGGCCGCGTACTGCTGCTATTGCAGGCAGAGGCTCTGGACAGCGGTGACGAGGTCCTGCAGGGTGGCCGTGACCTGCTTCGGTGTGAAGACGGCGGACGGCGGTGGCGCAGGAGGAATTGTGGAGGACGGCGCGGTCGGTGTCGCGGTGGAGACGGGGCCCGCCAGCGTGGTTGATCCGGCGGCGGACGTCGTCGGCGCGGTGAGGGACGGCGCCGGCAGCATCGGCGCGGTGGAGCCGCTGGAAAGCGCCGGCAGTGGTGGTGGTAGCGACATGATCGGAACTTGGTCTCTGATTACCAAATTGGTAGGAACTTGTACCCTACCAGGCCTGGGGCGTAAGCAGCAAGGGAAGGAGGGAGCTGGGCGAGGCGATGAGCGGCCGCGCCGGCGGTTGGGCGCCATCGCAGAAGAGGAGGGAGATGGCGGCGGTGGCTAGGATTCCGGCTCCTCTGGGAGCCGGGCAATAGAGATAATAATCTTCTTATTGCTTGATTCCAAAAAGAGTGTTACAGCCTATATTTATAACCTAGATAACTTGCATAAGAATTAACCTAAGATAACTTGCATAAGAATTAACCTAAAATAACTTGTGGTCTAAGATTGCCCGGTGGGCCTAGCTAAACCGGCCATAACAGATACCCTCTAGACATATTACCAAGATCTATATGGATCTACAGTTGCACATTTTTAAGATCTCTTGGGTCTCACATGGAACAAGCAACATATCCCCAAAGCCATTTTGTTGCATTTTCTTATGACAAGATCTCCAGTAAAAAACTGTTATACTCCCTCCGTTCCTAAATATAAGTCTTTTTAGAGATTCCAATATGGACTACATACGGATGTATACAGACGTATTTTAGAGTGTAGATTCACTCATTTTGCTCCATATGTAGTCCATATTATAATCTCTAAAAAGACTTACATTTAGGAACAGAGGGAGTACAAGTTATGTATGGCACCAGAAGGAGACCAGACCAATATATTTAACTTGGTTATTTGATAAACAGAAAATCCAAGCAATTTAACACTCACCTCATTAGATACATCAAAAACACCATCTTGGATTTTCTTGTATATTGTTCCAGCCGTCTTAATGAATGCCTGCACCACAAAAAGGATGTGAGTTTTCTTTTTGGACACAAACTAAAAAGTGTAATCCCACAAAGCACACTACGAATAAACCATAACCTCCTCAACATTTTGTGCTGTTTTTGCAGATGCTTCCATAAAGACTAGACCATGCTCCTTGGCGAACTGTTCACCCTCCTCGTAGCTGACAGCCCGTCTATGAGACAGATCACATTTGTTTCCGATTAACATCACTGTCATATTGGCATTTGCATGCTGTCTTGCATCTTCTAGCCAGCTCGCAAGATGGTTAAAAGTTTCCCTCCTGAAGTATGGTCAGTCAGGTGGAAGGACCATTAGCATGCAGAAATTTGAACACAAAAAGTGTTGTATTCCCAAACCTACTGTACCTGGTGATATCATAAACCAAAAGAGCACCAGCAGCACCTCTGTAGTATGATCTTGTTATAGATCTGAATGATTCTTGGCCAGCCTGTAATGTGAAGAAATGATAGGTATGAGATGGAGGGCTCTGTGAAGTCGAACTCAACAACCACGGTGGATCCTGGACTACAGAAACATGCAATCCCAAGCAAAATCACATGCCAATTTAGTTAAGCAGTCATCAACAGCAAAACTTGTTATGTAACTAATGAAAAGCAAATCATAACATGGTATGATGAACAAGCTAAAAGAACAAGTATAAACATGAGTGCGAAGCTCTGAAGTTAAGTGGCCACAAAAGGACCCCTTCGGTAACAAACCCCATATTGGGGGGAAATGCAGTCAAACCATTAGAACTTTAATTAAAAAAAACACCTTGGTGAATACGTACTATTTAGACCGTCTCAAGAAATGCATACTAGTAGGTTTATCTGGGAAACACTGGATTACTATAATCTTTTATTAGGCTTTGCAAATATATTACATATTACAACGGAAATTGGTGACCAATAGAGAGATGGAAGTTGGTTTTTAGAATCCGTGCCAAAGCAGCAATGCCCAAATGGGGCATCCTTTTCTGACCAGAGAGAGTGATCCATATCTAACCAAGATAACTACTGTAGTAATATACTGTAAACTAGCATATGACAAGACAATAAAACAAGGAATGTATGCTTCATTTACTCCCGGGGGGCAATACTGCAAGCAGTAGGAGGGAAAATAACTATACTGGCCAAAATTAAATTGCATCTGAATCAAGAGTTGCTAGTTGTAACAGAAAGGGCACGGCGTGGAGCACGAACCGTGTCCCAAATCTGGAGCTTGATGGGCTTGTTGTCGATGGTGATCATGCGGGCGCCGAACTCGACGCCGATGGTGAGGTCGTGCACGGGCTGAAACCTCTTGTCGGTGAACTGCAGCAGCAGGCATGACTTGCCCACGCCTGCAAAAAGAAAAGCAATCACGACGCGCTAAAAGAAAAGCAAGCGGCGCGCATGGGCCAAGAAAGCAGCTCAGCGGCCTCGCGGATCCGATCCTATTCCTACCCAGGGGCCATACGGGAGAGATTCGGGAGGGGCAGGGGAGAGATTTTGCGAACCTGTGTCGCCGATGATGATGTACTTGAAGAGGTAGGCGTACGACATGGTCGATCCCGGCGGCGGCGAACGGATCGGAGGAGCGGCGAATTGCCAAGGATTCTAGCGTCTGATTGGTTTAAGAGAAGGGAGGGGGAGGGGAATTGCGGGCGCTTGTGCAACCGACGCACGCGACAGCTATTTTGATGTTGGCCGACCAAAAACTCGAGAGGCAGCCCACGGTGCGCCTAGCTGGCTGGATGCGCGTGCCACGTTCATGCTCGTCTCGGCCCTTCGCGGCCAAGGAATCCACGTTCATGCTCGTCTCGGCCCTTCGCGGCCAAGGAATCCGGCTGGATCTGCTTCCAGGGGGAAAGTATCAGATGCTCCAAAGCTTGGTGTACTCCCGGTGCTCCAAATTCAAAAAATATTTTTTAAATATTTCAAAAATTCAGAAAAAAATTTGTGAATGTTCATAAGGAATATGACTACAACCCCTAAAAATTTCAGGTCCAAACTCGAAATACACATTTATAAACAAAAAGTTGAAATCCAGATGTAAATAGTATTCATGTTGCCTTTGTTTTTTTAACACTATTCATGCTAGATTTCACGTTTTTGTTTTTCAATGTGCGTTTCAAGTTTGGAGCTGAAATTTTTAGGGGTTGCAGTCACATTGCTTATGAACATTCATAATTTTTGTCGGATTTATTTGAAACATTTAAGAATGTTTTTTTTTGAATTTGGAACATCGGGAGTACCCTAAGCTTGGGAGTACATTAGACTTTCCCTCATTTCAGGTGTTTCTTTTGCTGATTTGGACCATGAAGGTCTCCATTTACTGATAATCCCATCGTCTTGGTCTTCATGCACTAAATTGGCAGCCTTTGGGGATCGCCTTGGGAACTAGTGGATGGCCTTACTCCCTTAGCACAAAAGAGGAAAGCATTCCCATCCGCGCCTACTGGCGCACCTCTAGCTTCGCTCGTCGCCATGCACATCACCCACGTGAAGGCACAGGGCCGCGTGACTCTACCGAACTGCTCTTGACTTGCACGCCTCCGCGAGGGGCCTTGGGAGGCCGCCTTGCTGGAGGGCTTCACGGGGCTCCTGGTGGCGCTCACTGACGTGCGCCTCGCGAGGGTCTTGCTCGTGAAGCCCTGGTGGAGGGCCAGCCTTGGGCTTCCTGGCGGGCGCCGCGCACTGGGTCGCAGGCAGACGGGCCTGGGTACCCCCAGTCTCACGGGCACGACAGTAGCCCCCGTGCCAGCGGTGCGCATGACTCCGCCCGCTAGGTGGAGCGAAATGGCGAGGACCCCAACCGCCTGCTGTCCAAGCTTGACGCGTGGCGCCCGACGAGACGTGGGGCGCCCCACTTCTCCCACGACGCCTCGGCAACCGCCCGGGCTAACATAAAATCTGCATGCGCACGGCGTGAGGCCATCATTGCCCTCTCTATCTTGCATCTCGATTGCTTGTATCTGCCTTGGTATTTCCCAGAAAAGGAGAGGATGATGTAGCACAACAACATTATGCATTTCCCTCAGTTATGAAACCAAGGTTATCAATCTAGTAGGAGAACCAAACAACACTATGTAAAAACTCACTTGCACACAAATAACAAATACTTGCAACCCAACGTGTAAGAGGGGTCGTCAATCCCTCCTCGGTTTTGAGATAGATAAAATCATATGAGATTTGATAAATAGATCTGACAAAACACAAAATAAAATAATAAATAAAAAGTGCAGCAAGGTATTTTTGGGTTTTTAGAATAATATATCTGAAAATAATATGATAGGAAATAGACCCAGGGGCTGTAGATTTCACTACTAGCTTCTCTCGAGAAAATAGCATACGGTGGGTAAACAAATTACTGTTCGGCGATTGATAAAAGAGCAAATAATCATGACGATATCTAAGGCAATGATCATGTATATAGGCATCACGTCCAAAATTAATAGACCGACTCTTGCCTGCATCTGCTACTATTACTCCACACAACGACTACTATCCAGCATTGCATCTAGTGTATTAAGTTCATGGAAAAACGGAGTAATGCAATAATAACGATGACATGATGTAGACAAGATCTATTCATGTAGGAATAGACCCCATCTTTTATCCTTAATGGCAACGATACATGCGTGTCATGTCTCCTTCTGTCACTAAGAATAAGCACCGCAAGATCGAACCCATCACAAAGCACCTCTTCTCATTGCAAGAAAAATCAATCTAGTTGGCCAAACCAAACAAAGTTTCGGAGAAGAAATACAAGTCTATAAAGATCATACATAAAAGTGTTCAGAGAAGACTCAAATAATATTCATAGATAGAACTGATCATAAACTCACAATTCATCACATCCCAACAAACACACCGCAAAAAGACATTACATCAAATAGATCTCCAGAAACATCAAGAAGAACATTGTATTGAAGATAAAAAAAGGCATCTAGCTACTGCCTACGGACCAGTAGACCTGTGGGAAACTAATCACGCATCATCGGGGGAGCACCAATGAGGGTGATGAACCCTTCCGTTATTGTTTCCGCAGTCCGGCAAGGTGCCGGAATAGGGCTCTAGATTGAATCTTGTGGTTCTGGAACTTGCGGCATCTCGAATTGTGTTTTGTCGACTCCCCTAGGGTTTATGGAATATCTGAGTATTTATAGAGCAGAGAGGCGGTGGAAAAGATCACTGTGGGCCCCTGTAATGCCCTCGATGCGGCTATATCTCCTACGTGTCGAAGCACGACTTAGAGGCATAACTGCATTGAAAGCAATGTCGCAAGTAAGGTAATCTTCACAGCAACCCATGTAAAAAGATAATAGGGGGAAAGGATACATAGTTGGCTTACACTCGCCACGTCACACAAATACATGAATAACATTACAATCATCCAATGCACTCATGGTTCGACTACGGTACCAAAATAAAAGATCAACCCCAACATGCGACACGGTCCCCGATCGCCCCAACTGAGCACCACTACTGATCATCAAGGAAAGACACATAGTAACGACGAGAGTCTTCGTCAAACTCCCACTTGAGCTCAAGCGCATCGTCTGGAGCGGTATCATCGGTCCCTGCATCTGGTTTGGAAGTAATCTGTGAGTCACGGGGACTCAGCAATCTCGCACCCTCGCAATCAAGACTATTTAAGCTTATAGAAAAGGCAAGGTAATATGTGGAGCTGCAGCAAGCGACTAGCATATATGGTGGCTAACCTGTTCGCAAAAGAGAGCGAGAAGAGAAGGCAAAGCACGAACAAAGAACTATGATCAAGAAGTGATCCTATAACAACCTACGTCAAGCATTACTCCAATACCGTGTTCACTTCCTGGACTCCGCCGAGAAGAGACCATCATGGTTACACACGCGGTTGATTCATTTTAATTAAGTTAAGTTTCATGTTATCTACAACCGGACATTAACAAATTCCCATCTGCCTATAACCACGGGCACGGCTTTCGAAAGTTCAAATCCCTGCAGGGGAGTCCCAACTTAGCCCATCACAAGCTCTCACGGTCAACGAAGGATATTCCTTCTCCCGAGACATTCCGATCAGACTCGGCATCCCGGTTCTACAAGACATCCTCGACAATGGTAAAACAAGTCCAGCAACACCGCCCGAATGTGCCGACAAATCCTGATAGGAGCTGCACATATCTCGTTCTCAGGGCACACTCAGATGAGACATCCTACGAGTAAAACCACCCCTCAAGTTGCCCCGAGGTGGCCCCGCAGTCTACTCGGTCGGACCAACACTCAGAGGAGCACTGGCCCGGGGGGGGGGGGGGTTAAATAAAGATGACCCTTGAGTCTGCAGAACCCAAGGGAAAGAAAAGGCTAGGTGGCGAATGGTAAAACCAATGTTAGGCATTGCTGGAGGAGTTTTATTCAAGGCGAACTGTCAAGGGGTTCCCATTATAACCCAACCGCGTAAGGAACATAAAATCCGGGAACATAACACCGATATGACGGAAACTAGGGCGGCAAGAGTGGAACAAAACACCAGGCATAAGGCCGAGCCTTTCACCCTTTACCAAGTATATAGATGCATTAACTAGATAAGAGATATTGTGATATCCCAACAAGTAAACATGTTCCAACAAGGAACAACATCTCCATGTTCCAACAAGGAACCAACTTCAATCTTCACCTGCAACTAACAACGCTATAAGAGGGGTTGAGCAAAGCGGTAACATAGCCAAACAATGGTTTGCTAGGACAAGGTGGGTTAGAGGCTTGGTTCAACAATATAGGAGGCATGATAAGCAAGTGGTAGGTATCGCGGCATAGGCATAGCAAAAGAGCGAGCAACTAGCAAGCAAAGATAGAAGTGATTTCGAGGGTATGGTCATCTTGCCTGAGATCCTACAAGGAAGAAGAACGAGTCCATGAAGAAGACAAACGGACGTAGTTGAACGAATCCTCACAAACGCAACGTTATCGGAACTAACCCGAAGAAGCAACACCGGAAATAAGCAAACAACATAGTAAACAACCACCACATAGACATGGCATGATGCACAAACAAGTATGATGCATGTCCGGTTTAAAGAGGGCATGTCATGGCAAAGTGCACAAGCAATCCTACAAATTAAGTGGAGCTCAATATGCAACGAGTTGCATATTGACGGAACACCACATGACTTATTTAGTTCTCTCTTGTTTAGGTACCCAACAAATTAAATGTTGTCAACCATGGCAAGGGGTGAAGCATAAGTAAACTAACTATCTAGTCAAGTTTAAATGAGGCCGGAAATAACAAACAACAATTCCGGAAACTCCTCATGTGCATATTTTAAGGTTTGGTACTGTTCTGCCCTAAACCATGTTTTAGAGTTGTTAAACATGCAAAGTAAGGCCACCATGTTAAACTAGGAATTTTTCTACCCTATTTACATATAAAGTTTGTTAAGTTTGGAGCAACGGTTATTTAGTTATGAAATAAAGCATTTTAACATGGCATAGGAGCAAATTTAACCAAGCAACATTTTAAACAAGTCAAACATTCATGAAAGTTGCAAATTATTAATCTACACAAAATTCTAAGCATTTTT